AACATCCCGGTTTGTGGTATTTGAAAAAAGGCTTAAGAGGATTGATTTGTCTATCTATGTCACCAAAGTGCACTTACCTTTTCGGGAGCACATCCCGAGAGAACTCCAGAGTTAAGCGTGCTTGAGCTGGAGTAGTCAAAGGATGGGTGACCTATCGGGAAGTAATTTGCGATACCGTGTAAGTGAGGCCAAAGCACGGGGAAGGGTCGGATGGTGATTGCAGGGTCAGTAAACATGACTTTAGAGCCTTGAAAAAATTAACGGACCGACCGTTGGAACGGGATGGGCCCACGGGCCGAGAGAACGGGCGTGGGTGGCCCATTAGCTGTGGGCGGTCGGGGTGTTACAATTGGTATCAGATCTGGTTAGCCATCTCAGTTCTGACCTGAGAGGCGTCTTGAGACCTGTCGGGGAGCGCAACAGAGACGTTGCGTTCTTTGAGAGGGGGTGAATTGTAACATCCTGGTTTATGGTATTTGAAAAAAGGCTTAAGAGGATTGATTTGTCTATCTATGTCACCAAAGTGCACTTACCTTTTCGAGAGCACATCCAGAGAGAACTCCAGAGTTAAGCGTGCTTGAGCTGGAGTAGTCAAAGGATGGGTGACCTATCGGGAAGTGATTTGCGATACCGTGTAAGTGAGGCCAAAGCACAGGGAAGGGTCGGGTGGTGATTGCAGGGTCAGTAAACATGACTTTAGAGCCTTGGAAAAATTAACGGACCGACCGTTGGAACGGGATGGGCCCACGGGGGCTGAGAGAGCGGGCGTGGGTGGTCCATTAGTCGTGGGCGGTCGGGGCCAAAGTATTTTGTGTCTTTTATATTTTAGATTCTAATAAGTTATAGATTCAACATAATGTGATTGTTTTAGTTATTAATTAAGCTTAAAACATTGGTTTTTGAATTTTTTATATGTTTCGGTGTCATTTGAACGTTTTTGGATATGCAGGTTTTTTCATATCTAAGGTGGACATTGGAATACTTACAGAAGACTTTTATGGAAGTTTTCTGGCATTGTCTTAAATCTTCTGACATTGTCTTAAGTCTTCTTACGCCGTCTTAAATCTTCTTCCATGTCTCCTCTTTCACAACAGATTTGAGCGTTTTGGTAAGTTTTCATGTCTGATTTTCTTCATTTAGTATTCACAAAAAAATCTCCAACCTCTTTTTAATCTCTTTAAACATGAAAACACCAAAAGTTATATCAATTTCTTATTTTATGTGTTTCTCACTATTTTATCTTGTTTTTGCAGGTTTTTCATTACATAGTTTTCATCTTTCACTCATTTAAGGATAGATCTATAAATTTTTTAAATGTATTTTGTGTTTTTTATATGTTAGATTTTAATAAGTTATAGATTCAACATAATGTGATTTTTTAGATATTATTTAAGCTTAAAACCTTTTTTTTTTTGAATTTTTTCTCTATTTTGGTGTCATTCGAACGTTTTTGGATATGTGGGTTTTTTAGATCTGAGACACACATCGGGAGACTTACAGAAAATGTTCAGAAGACTTTCCTGGAAGTCTTCTGACGTCGTCTTAAGTCTTCTGACGTCGTCTTAAGTCTTCTGGCGTAATCTTAAGTCTTCTTAGAAATCTTCTCTCATATCGAGTGGAGTCCAAGATTGTCTTAGTGGAGGAATGATCTATAAAATTTTATTTGTGGTTTGTTTTGTGATTTGTATGTATACTCTTTAGTTGTGATTTTTTTTTTTTGTAAATTTAAAAAAATATTAATAAAAAATATGGTAAATATGTAAATTACTTCACATTATTAAAGTAAACAAGATGTAAGATATCTGCTTACAATGTGTTTTCCATTTTTACAAATCAAGGAAATAAAAAAAAATTCATTGGCTTTCAAATACAAAATATGATGTTCATTGTGTAGTTCTTCTCAAATTTGGATCTCCCATACTCTGCAAAAAAAAAAAGAAAAAAAAATTGTAACTATAAACAATTTCTTCTCATTAACTTACAATAGTTGTTCATCACTTTAAACTTCTAAGAAGGAAAAGAAACAAAGTCTTCTTAAAAGTATAGCCAATAATTAATAATACTAATAAATTTCAAACAAAATTTAAAAATCTCTAAAATCTAAGAAACAATATTTAAAATTTCTAATTTTACTTGAATATTTAAGAATGAATGTAAGTAAACTTTGGAAAAGATTTAAAAAAATTTAAAAATTAATTTTGAAGGAATACAAATTACTTTATTTTTTATTTTAGAAAACAAAATAAATTCTATATTTAAGACTTTAAAAAATTATTACAAAATTTAACATTATACAAAATGTATTTACTTTTATTTTTCAAGCCCAATATAAAATTAGAATTTTCTGTAAAAGTTAGAGATTTTAAATTTTTCATTTGAAAATTATTAGTATTTTTTATTAAAATAAAAAAAGTTTGGGTATTAAAATGGGCATTTATAAAAGTTTGTGTATTGAAATAGGTAAAATAATTAGTTGGGTACTAAATTAGGTAGCAAAAAAAATTTGAGTATTAAAAAGATTAACAAAATTTTGTTGGTATTTTTATGAATTTTTCCTTTAAAATATAACAATGTATCATATTAAAACAAAAATATAAAATATAACTTATCAAATTTTAAGTGTTCTAGTATATTATTTAATTTTCACAAGACCACATCGTAGAGGAACCTCAAGTCTTAAGCTTGGGAAACATTACATGTTAGATGGGTCATGGAAATCCACAACACGGTTCATCGGGTGTGGATGGTCTTGGTTTGACAGTTTGAGGAATGTTCAATCTAATGGGACACGAAATTATCCACAGCGAGAGTCTGTCTTACATTCAGAAGTGGAAGTATTACGATGGACAATGTAGAGTATGCTCCAGCATTCGACATGTCAGAGTATTGGGACAGATTGTAAGGATTTGATTGATATGCTTAAGGAGTCTCATGTTTGACTAAGCTTCGCAACAGAACTGGAGAGATAGAGACGCTACAAAGTTGCTTCCCAGACTTCAAAATCATTCATATTCTACAAGCGCAAAATAAAATTTCAGATTATTTAGTTAGGTCTGCGAGGTCTTTCTAGAAATAGTTTTATTTTATTGGTTGTTTTATTCCAGTGTAATTATCCAGACCGCCTTAGGTTTGAATAATAGAATAGTCGTTCATTATAAAAAAAAACTACTTCATTATTTGTCTCTACCGTAATAATTATGTAAATATTTATTAATATTTTTTTCAAGTGGTGTATTACATATTTTTCCATTAAATATTAATTATTCTTATATTTCTGCATTAATTATTTTTTGTCATTTACAACAAACATAAAACTTACATATTGTTTTTTGAAACACATCTTACCTAATTCTCTATTCTAACTAATTAATATTTTAACTACTCACTAAAATTTTATATTTTATTCAAACTAATTAATATAAGTAATTCGTTATTTTAATTAATTGATATTATATTAAAAGACACGTACATTTTCTTTGGAAGACAAGCTAATATGTTTACATGCCTAAAATAATCAACTCACCACATAATCTCACAAATATAGTTTGTAAATAGTCATAATACAAATACTTACCTTTACATCATAATACAAGTATTTATCTGTATATTCATGTCTCACTTTTTAATAATTTTAAATTCAAATATTCATTATTTACAAACATATATAATTAATTAAATAATAATAAATTTGTAGAAATTATATACAACTATAATAAGGCATTTGTCGGATGTTGTCTTAAATTTACTAAATTAATAGATTAACCCATTTTATTTCCATTAATATGAAATTATATTCATCTAAACCATAAAATATAAATTAATTTGTCAATATATTATTTTGCACATATTTTCGGATGAATATTAGTTTCATACAAATCCAAGCTATGAATATATAATAAGAAATCTGGATGGTATAGTTAACTGTTAAAAAAACTCATCAATGTTAACTATAAAACTATTGTATTTAAAAATGATATATTAAATAATTATTCAATATGATTGAATATTAAATATATATACTACTATATATATAAAAATATTAACTTTAAAAAAAAAAATCTGCACGAATGTGCGGATCTTGTTTTAAAAGGAGAGTACAAATATAAATTGCAAAATCTTGTGTTGTTTGCTGATGCGTTGCTGGTGCAATCCTTATTAAATGTATCCAAACGAGGCAGTATGTATCATTGAAGCAAACATGTGATGAAGGCAGTATGTATCATTGAAGCAAACATGTGATAGATAGACAGTCATAGTACAACACATTGGTATCAACTAAAAATGAACGATTTTTCGCTTCTATTTTTGGTGACCAAATAATTTGGAGAAATATTTTTAGAAAAATGAGACGTGGAGTCTCGCGTTACGTTTACCAACCTCGTTGCGGCAATTTAGCAGCCACACACACAAGACACACCCTGAGAGTTTCAGTGCAGCTTAGCAAAACACACATGTCTTATACTAAAATACGCAGAGAGAGTTAAAGGTCATAACTTACACCCCCTTTCTCTTGCCACCCAACACTTGCTTTATTTTCACACATTTTTCTCCGACAGAAAAATTGCATCTTGCGGTCTGAATGAACGGCGTCGTATGGATCCAATGATTCTTTCCTGGAACTGAAGAGAAAATCGAGTAGAAAAGGAAAACAAAAAGATGGCTTCATCTCTGGAGATTGTTAAACTGTGTCTTTCTCCTGTATCGATTTCCCGCCA